GGAGGGGGCGCTGCTGCTGCCCGGGTTCGAGGTTCCAGGCGCGTGCGTGGCCTCACTGGAGCGCGCGGCCGGCACCCCCACTTTACTAAGAGGACAGCGAGGCCGCGCCCGGCCCAAACCACGGAGTGGGGTGGGGGGAGTGCAGCCAGACCAGGGAGGTTGGGCTTGTGGGAGGGTGGCTCTGAGTCCTAGATCCCTTGAGGGAAACTGAGGCAGCGGGCGGGGTGAAAGAGCAGAGGGCGAAACCAGGCAGGACTGGGACCCCAAAGTTAGACACTTCTTGGCTCCAGCTGCCCCCATCCCTTCCCTCCAAATCACGCGCAGCAGAGCTCACAGCCTGCTCTCCCCCTTGCCCCCCGCATGGCTCCCTCTGGCCTCGCCAAATGAAAATACTTGGATGGGGGAGAAAGTGGGCAAAAGAGGACCGGACGGTGGCAGTAGCAGGGGCGGGGTGCTCCACTCGGCAGAGCGCCAGGCCCAACATCTGCGGGAGCCCCGGGGTATGGGGAGTTGTTTTTCTCTTACAGACACTGAGACGGGGCGAGAGAATGGTAGAGACGCGGTTCTCGGAACGCAGGCTGGGGGGTGGGATGAGAGGGGGAGTGGGCTGAGGGGGGGGGGGTGGCCTGAGAGGGTGGCGTGATCGCCGCGGCTCAGACGACTTTTCGCTGAGGTCAGCCTATCCTCCTCGGAGGGGCCCTGAAGGAGGGGCCGTCCGCCGCCTCGGGTGCAGGGTAGACAAAGTTCAGGGTCTGAGGAAGGAGAGCCGCGTCGCCCGAGTTGGATTGAGAAGCACTTTGTTTCTGCCAGATCCCAGGGACCAACCCTTAGTTACTCATTGCTGAGGCCAAGAATGGGGATTTAGAGGGCCTGGGTCTGGCCTGGTCTTGGGTAAACAAGGGGGCATCTGGGAGGCTTATCTCGGTCACGTGGGGCGTCTGGTTCTTCGCAGTAAGCCGGTTTCCAGGACACAAAGGGTGGGAAGTTTCTCAGGGATCAGGTAAAATTCAACATTGTCAGCCTCAGGGCGGGCACAGTCACCTGCCATGGCAGAGTTCAAACAGAGGGGCCAGGGTTGCTGTTGCGGCCTCGGTTTCCCCACCTGTAGCAGGAATGGCCTAGGGCAAGCTGGGCTGGGGGCCATGGCGAGGAGGCAGGCAGCCCGGCCGGCGGGCAGCCGGGAGGAGCAAAGCCGGCCCAGCGGCGCGTCCCCCTTGCGCTGGGCGATAAGGGAGCGTGGGAACCTAGCGGGAAGCCGCGGGGTGGGCGGCTCCCCCAGGATCTTTCCAAAACAACCGGCCTCCTCTGGCCGGAAAGTTTCCATGGCTGGAGCTGACCCAAAAGGTGGATAGTTGGGAACGTTTGCAGGAAACGTGGTCAGGGCCTGGCCTTGGGGGAGGGGACTCCAAGGTTCTGGGCCCAGTACTAGCCCTGAAGAGACTCTAGTAGGGGGTGGGGGGGAGACGCAAAGTGGACTTGTCCACCCAAGCCAGAGGGGACCAGAGACAGGGCCAGGGCACCCCGGGGAGGGCTGGGAAGGCTTTCGAGCAGACATGGCCACTGGAAGGCATTTTGAGGTATGGAGCTTACAGGCAGCCTAGGGAAGTGGGGACGTGGAGCCTCAGGGCTGGGGATGAGGTGAGGGGAGCTTGAGGCCACATGTGAAGTCACAGGAATGTCTGCAAAGAAGAGAAAGCCCCAGGACCCAGCCCAGGGGGCCCCAGCGTTCACATGAAGTTGGGGGACCCAGGCCCAGACAGTCCTCTTGGAAGGGCAGTGAGGAGTTGGGTGGAGGGATGGCAGGGGCAGGGACGTGTCTATTCCTACTGGTCACTTGGCATTGTAAGGTGACCGCAGGGCTGGCCGTAGGCCTAGAGTGGAGGGGGCTAGAAGAGTCAGGGCCTGGGTAGGACCACAGAGTTAGGGGAACCCAGCCCGGGGGGTGAGCAGTGCACGGCTGTGCTTTTATCATCCCCATGCCATCTGGGGGTCACTCAGGCTTGTCCGTGTCCCACTGAGGGCAAGTGGGGCCATCCAGTCCTTGCTGTGTCCCAAAACCCAGTGGAGGGTGGCACAGGGTTACAGAGCAAGGGGCAGGCTCAGGCCCAGGAAGACCCTTCTGGGGCCCAAGGGGGCTGGACTCTCAGGCAGGACAGTCCCAGGAAGCTCAGGCTGTGGTGGGGGAGCTGCTAAAACAGGCAGTGGAGGGTCGGGGGAGGTGCCGGACAGGGGCCTGGGGCGTTAGGACAAAGAAGATGTTATCTACATGACTGGTACACTTTGCCCACAGGCCGCTGGCCCAGATTCCTGCACCTCAGACTCCAGGCCACCTCAGAACTTGGGCCAAGGCCATGGCCAATGGGCTGCCCACTGACCCCAGGAGCCTGCAGTGGCCATGGGGATGGCAAGGGTGCTGGGGCATTCACTCATGGCCATCTCCTTTGTCTGTTTTTCCTAAAGTCGAGTCCCCCCCCTGCATGGTCCTGAGCAGGCAGGGCCAGCTTCCATGCCTCTGATCTCGGACTCCTCACTTAGAAGAGGGGATGAAGACAGCTGCCCTCACTGGGATCCTGGCTTTGCAGGCCCTCAGGGCCTCAGTGTCCCCATTGGAGGCAGGAGACAGCCCCACCCCTGCCCCCAGCAAGCCCCAGTGAGGAGGAAGGAGCGATCGATCGATCGGTCATCCTGGCCTTGCAGGCCCTTAGGGCCTCAGTGTCCCCATTGGAGGCAGGAGACAGCCCCACCCCTGCCCCCAGCAAGCCCCAGTGAGGAGGAAGGAGCGATCGATCGATCGGTCATCCTGGCCTTGCAGGCCCTCAGGGCCTCAGTGTCCCCATTGGAGGCAGGAGACAGCCCCACCCCTGCCCCCAGCAAGCCCCAGTGAGGAGGAAGGAGCGATCAGTCACTACCGATCGGTCACTACCGATTGGTCACTACTGGCTGCTGTTTCCATCAGAGAGTATGTGCAGATGAGTCCTGGCCCTCCCTTGCTCACACACCTGCCGTGGCTCCCCATCACCTCCACCCACATTCTCCACATTGACTGACTCCTGGGAGGCAGTGCTGGCAGGCTGCCCAAGCTGCCATCCCTGTCCAGTCCACACCAAGGCCATACCATTGCCATGGCTGCCCTCCAGATGCACCGTAGGAGCCAGCCCTGAGGACCCAGACATGAACACAGGCCAGGCGGCCAGAGCCACAGTTCAGTTCAGTGAAATTTATTGTAGGTTGAAAAAATTCAGCATTCACCTGTTTAGTGTACAAAAAGGACACTAGCTGTTTTAAGAAAATATTAGGAAAACAGAAGATGCGGGTGCCTCTCAATTGTAACATTTTGGCAAAAGTGAAAAGTTCTTGTAAACACCAACTCCATGGCTCAAAGTGGCTTTTCTCCACAGTACGAAGTCAAGAGATAGAACAGTATCAATAAGTTAGACCCTATTTAATCGGCTGGGACTGTGTCCACCAACCCCCAAAGCACAAAACTTCTGATTTTCACCGTTCCTTAAAAGGAGAAAAAAAATAACAATAACAACAAAAAAGGCAAATTCAACAGAGATTCCCAGGAGATGGTTCCCAGGAGCAGGCAGGCAGCTGGGCCCCTCCGATCACCCGGGCTACGTGCCCTGCACCCCGCCACCCTCCAAATGATAAAACACAAAGGGTCAAAGTTTCTGCGGGGGCCGGGGGTCCCACAGGAAGGGGCTTTGTGGGGGGTGACACCCTGCTGGCGCCTTCCGCTAAGCCAGCTCTTTGGAAGCTGGTCGGCCCCGCCCCCGTGGCACAGGGACCAGGCGCGGCCACATTCCAGCGCCCCAGGCCCCATCCCCCTCAGCATGACCCCACCCCCATCAGGCCCCACCCCCACTGTCTGATCTGCAGCCTTACACTGGACACTGCCTGGACCCCACCTCGTGGCTCGGTGAGGTCCCCATGCACACGCAATCGCACAGCTCTGTGGGGTTGGGGGCACACTAGGCACAGCAACAAAGCAGCAATTGTGGGGCCCGCGAAGCCGCGCCTCCCAGCCCCTCCCTGAGTGCGGACCCCGGGGCCTCAGAGGAGGGGTCTCAACCCCGGGAGGACAAACAAACAAGCAGCAGCGGCAGCAGCAGCAAAGGGGGGCGCTGAGAAGTCACAAACACCACCTGGTACAGCGTCCTGCACGATCCCGGTTGGCTGGCAGCTGGGCGCCCGGAATAGCTGGCTGGCCTGGGGACACGGGGCAGGCACCTCCTGGGACAAATGGGCCCCACTGACCCCAGGCCCCACAGCTGCTCCATGCCAGCTGGGCCTCTTGAAATAGAGCCTCTCCACCCCTCCAAGAGATCCCTGGGCAGGTGGGGAGAGGCAGTATCTGCTGGCCAGAGGTCACCCCAGCTCGGGGGCTTGATGGGGTATCCCTGTTAACGGTGACCCTGGGCCATGTTCCTCAGAAATGCATCACCCCCACGCCCAATCCATGGAGCCCTCAGAACAGTGCTTGCTCTGGTGGCGGTAATACTGCAGAAAGGACCCCGGGCCCTGGGGTCCACTGGCGGCAGGAGGCACAGGTGTAGAAAAAGGGCTTTTTTTTGTCGTACAAAAATAGACGAGTCTCCTCGCAGTAGCTAAAAGTGGCTGTCTGTATAAAACTAGAAAAGGCGCATGGCTCATCTCTGGCCACAGCAGGCAAGGTGGCACGGCCCAAGGCCCCGTCTTCAGGACCCTCGGTGTCCGCGTGCAGCTTCAGACAGGCGCATGTCCTTGTATTTATTTAAATAAATCCTCTTTCCCTCCTTTTGTCCCCCAGGCCCCACCATCCACAAGGGTCCGCCCAGCAGGGTTGGGTGTGTGGGGCAGGCCTCAAGGCCACTGGTCCCTGGGCGGTGCCTCCCGCCCAGCACCTCGGGCTAGTGCCAAGCAGGCAGCTGCCGCTGGTCATACTCAGCAATGAGCCGCTTGATGTGGGCCAGCTTGCTGTGCAGGTACTCGCAGCGCTGCTTCTCCTGGCTGTAGTTGGTGTTGGTCTGCAGGGGGCGGTGGGGGGTGCTTGGTGACCTCAGGGGATCAGAGCCAACCCTGCCCTGATGGGGTGGCCAGGGGCATTTCCCAGCGGGGAGGGGGCAGGCCTCAAGGCTAGGTAACTCCATCATGGCTGATGATACAGATGAAGCTGGCCAAGGTAAAGGCCAGGTCCTCAACCCAAAAGTGCTCAGGCACCATGGACATGGCCTGGAAGCAGTGGGGACAGGCAGGGGACAGTGGGGGGCACCTGGGAGCCCTGCCCTCTCCCCAAACGGACGTACCTTTTTGATTTTTCGATACTCCTGCAAAATCTGCCCTCGTGTGGTCTGGAGGGAGAGAGACAGCATCACCTGCCTGCAGGACCCTACCAAGCCTGCCCTGTGCCCAGTGGAGTGTGGGGGCCAAGGGCTCCTGGCAGAGGGCCGACCGAGGTGGTGAAGGAGGCAGGGTGGGAGGCTGGGGGACACCATGGGGACCGGTGCAGGGTCTCAGGTAAGGGCGGCTCTTGGTGGGGCAAGGGCAGTGGCGGGTTAGGGGCATGACCTCATACTCCGCAGAGCCTTGGGAGAGCTGCCGGAGCTGGGCGTCAAGCTGCGTGAAGCGCCGCGTGATACGCTCGATGCGGGCGTGTAGGTCACGGTACTCGGTGTATTCTGCGTTGAAGTCATTCTTATAGTTCTGCCGCTGCTCCGAGGAGGAGATGGCTGCGTACTTCCTGGGGGGAGGAGAGGGAGAGCTGGGTCAAGGGGAGCCGTGCCTCACCCTGAGGGTGTCCTAGCTGGGGGATTTTCTGGGTGGCGCAGGGGCCAATATATGGCTCAAAACACACAGTTTGCCTCTACTACCAGCCAATCCTCAGGCCCAGACAGCCACTGGAAAGCCTGTCCAACAAAGGACAATCCAGTAGCTTAGCACCGTGGGGGCAGATAAGAAGGAACAGCCCCATACTCACAGTAAGTAGTCGGGCGTGTCTGAGGTTGAGGTGGGGACACTGGCACTGTGGCAGGCGCCGTTTAACCCTGTGAAGAACAGACGTGCTGTCACGAGGCCCCATGGGGCATCCAGACACCGCAGACCCCACAGCGAGAAGCTGGTCTTGGGAGAAGACCCGCAAAGGTTCCTGGGGGGAACAAGGCAGGGAGGCTGTGCAGGTGGAATACAGACCAGAGCCCGAGTCACAGCCACAGCTGTGCCCAGCAAGCAGCCAAGCAGACACAGGGACAGGCTGCGCCCAGCCGACTGGGGTCACAGGGCCTGGCTGTGCTGCTGACTGATGCTAGGTCACTGAACTGAGAGCAGACATCTCCTGCCAGCACAAGTCTGCTGGGGCATCTAGCCTCTGGCCACGCAGGACCCGGACAGCAACCAAGGAGGGGGGTTTAAGCATCTAACAGCAGCCCCCACAACTTGTTCCTAACGTTCCCAATGCTGCCCGGGGCCACTGAAGGCCAAGCTGACCCTGGCACAGGGCTCAGGCCTTTAAGAAGTAACCAGCCACAGGTGTCGGGTGTCACCTCGTTTAACCCTCCATGGTCTCCAAGGGCACACAGCAAATGGGGAAACCGAGGCACAAGCTCTGGAGCGATGCTGCCCTGGGCTGCATCAACCAAGTTCCAAGCAGCAGATAGCCAAGTCCTGCCTGAGTGAGCTGTCCCACGACTCCTGGAACCACTTCACCTGGAGCCCCCTCCCCACAGAGGCCGGCTCCCCCTTACTCCCTGTTTCCACGCCCTAACCTGTGGGCAAGGGGCTCCGGGACAGCAAGGATGCGCCTGCACATTCACCCCCAGCCCACCCTCACCTTGGGCCCTTGCCCACCACCCTCCCTGCTGTCCTAAAGTTTCCTGACTCCTTGTTCTCAAGCACGTGCCTCCCAAGCTCACTCTACACAGGTGAGCGCAGTCACTGCTCAGCAGGCTGCAGGCCCCAGCAGCCAGGTGCTGTCCCTCCCCCAGGCAATGCCTGCCCATGACCCAGCGACCTCCCAGGACTGGGCTTGGCCCCAAGGCCACCACCAGCCTCCTGGCCCCACCGTCAGCTCCCTCGAGGCATCCTCAGCCACCTGCACCAGGGCTGTAGCCTGGAGCCCTCCTCCCCAAGCTTTTGTCCTCCTCCCAGAAGCCCCACCTGGGGGCCCCAAGGCCCCAGCAGGAAGCACCAGCAGAAGGCACCAGGCTTGTAATCCAGGGATCGAGGGGTGGCAGTGCTCTCATGGGATGCAGAGTGTAGCAGGCTGGCCTGGCCCCTGCAGCTCCCCATGTCCCTCCACACCTACCTGGGGCGTCCAGCGGGGCCCCGAGGGTGCTGCCCGAGCTCTCCGCAGGCTCTGGGTTGGGCTGCGAGTTCCGGTGCCGGTCCCCGGGCACCCGCTCCCTGTCACGGTGTTTCTTCGACTTCTTCTTGGCCTTGCCGTGGGGCCAGCTGGGCCGCGTGCAGTCTGGGGATGGGGGCGGGTGCAGGCACTTAGCAGGACCCGGACCGCCCGCTTCAGGGTGTTCTGCGTCTCGGCCGCTATGGATCAGGTCGTTGCTGACATCGGTGAGCGGGTCGTGGGGCCGTGGGGGCTCGGGCAGCGGGGGAGAGGGGGTGGTGTGGCCAGGGGGTGCGCTCAGTTTCCCGTTGACAGCGGGCTGCGCACGCTGGGCAAAGTGTGAGATCCGGGGCTTCTTGCTGGCGAGGGGGTCAATGAAGTCAGGGGGCTGCGGCCGCTTCTGCGGAGGAAGGAAGGGACTGGATGATGGGGGCAGCCCAGGTGGGAGCAAGGCGCAGGCAGGAGCAAGCCTGGCCACTCAGGCCCCTTGGAAGCTGCTGCAGGCTGCAGGGCTCATTCTGGCCACACGGTGGCGACCGGATACTGGGCCAGCTGAGGCCTGCAGCCTGTTACCTTGGCAACCAGCTCCAGCCCACAGACGGGTCCCCCACCTCAGGGCCTGGCTGCACTTTGCTGCTGTGCTTAGCATCTTTCCTGGAGAACGGGGACAGCCCACCTCACAGGGTGCTGGGAGCTGACAGACACACAGCTCCAAGAACCATCTGCCCCCCAGGTCCATTCTGCAGCCTCTGGCCAACACCAGGACCGGCTTGGGGTCACTGAGGGCCTCGAGGAACTGCTGACCAATGTCCCCAGCCTGGCCTTAGACACAGGGCCACCATGGGCAAGCTGTATCCAATCTTATGGACTGTGGTCAAGGAAGGCACCTGAGCCCAGGGGGCGGGCTGACACCCTTTCCTGGTCTCCTGCCCTGCTACTCTGGGAGGTGGCTCTGTGTGTGACAGAAAGTTCGTCCTTATAAGCACACTGGGCTCAGACAGGGACATGGAGGCAAGGGACAGAAGCCAGGGGCAATGTGGGGGCTCCAGGCCCATTGGCTCCCATGTGAGACCCTCCAAGGAGCAGCCCCAAGTCCCCCCTCCACATCTGCACCCCCAGCTCAGCCCCTACCTGCAGCAGTGAGGAGGCATTCCCATGCTCCCCCGGAGGGCTGGCGGGAGGGTCACTGGGGACGGCGCCGGCACCCTGTGGCTGGCACACCTTCCTGAGAGGGAAACTGAGATGGTTGGGGGCCAGCAGCAGTGCAGTGGGACACCGCCACAGCCTCCCTGTCCCTGCGGCAAGCACCAGAGGGGGGGACGGTCTTGTCCTCTGGCCACAGCACGAGTAGTGAGCCCTGACCTCCAGGTGAGATCACCATGGAGCCCGCCTCGCTGGGCGGGCCCCCGAGGCTCTGGCCCCTAGCTCCACAGAACAGCCCTCTGTCCTGCCACGAATGCTCACTGATGCAGAGCCAGGAAACACTGATGGGAGGCACGACCCCTCCTCCCGCCCCCTGGGGCCTGGGCCCAGCGCCTCCTCTTCAGAGGACAGGGTGTAGCCTGGGACCCGAAGGGTAGTGATACCACCGAAGGACGAGGGCAGAGATGTGTCCACCACAGAGGACAGGCAACAAGGCCAAGGGCCACACCTGGGGCAGGATGAATGGGGGCTGGGGCTTAGCAAAGGCAGATGCCAGGGGCCAGGCCAGGGCATAAGGGACTCAGGGGTCTCTCAACACCCCCTGAAGAGGCTGCACCAGTGTGTCCTGGCAGCTCAGCCCAGGGGAAACCCACCGTAGCCACCACTGTGTGGGACGCCGAGGGATGCCTCTGCAACCAATGTCAGAGACCCTGAAGACAGACAGACAAGCAGAATATCCTTCAAAGGGAAGAGAGACTCCGAAAGGGTATGAAAAATTAAACAAACAAAAACAAAGACAAAGAACTTGAATTGACATTTCTCCAAAGAAGATGCACAAATGACCAACAAGCACACAGACAGATACTCCATGTCATCAATCACTGAAACCAAAAACTAGACCAGAAGAACTAGATGGTGCCCAGCTACCATACTGAACGTCCTGATCAGGAACATAATAGAGAAATCCTGATAAAAAGGAAGAAAAATGTGGAACAAAACTTCAAATTTTTAAAGAATGCAGACTTACTGGACCTACTAAGGCTGAAGGAGTCCCCAAGACTATGGCCCTGAGTTGCTCTTTGAATCCTGAAACCATCCCCCAAAGTCACTGTCATGGATTGAACTGTGTCCCCCCAAAATATCTGTATTGTATAATTGTGTACCATTTTGTAATCTGATGTGATTTCCTTATATGTTGTAAATTCAATCATTATGATCTAATAAGATCGATTAGTGGCAGTTATACCGATGAGACATGCAAGATTGGATAGTGTCTTAAGCCAATCTCTTTTGAGATATAAAAGAGAGAAGCAAGCAGAGACACATGGGAACCTCATACCACCAGGAGGGCAGTGCCAGGAGTGGAGCGTGTCCTTTGGACCTGAGGTTCCTGTGCAGGGAGGCTCCCAGACCGGGGGAGGATTGATGGCACGGACCTTCCTCCAGAGCCGACGGAGAAAGTGTTCCCCTGGGGCTGATGCCCTGAATTTGGACTTGAAGCCTACTGGACTGTAAGAGAATAAACTTCTCTTTGCTAAAGCCATCCACTTGTGGTATCTTTGTTATAGCAGCACTAGATGACTAAGATAGTCACCTTTAAACTAAGTAACAGTTTAGCCCAAAGAGTAAAGGTTGTCACTCATAAGTATTGCATTACTTAAATATATTTATGTATAAAATACATATATATATATATATATAATATACATATACATATATATATATATATATATATATATATATATATAAAAAAGACCAAAGGGTCAACAACTATTTTAAAGCATACATGAGAAGGTTCGGGGACAAGGAGATTAAGTAAATTGAAGTGAAATAACTAGAACAGAAATAATGAGAATACTGACACAATGTGAAGAATTTAACCAATGTCACTGGTTATTATGTCTAGAAACTGTGGAATGGGAGAGGGTTTTGTTGTGTATATTTTCACCTATAAAAAATAAAAACTAAACCAGTTGCAGTTGAGTTGACTCTCACTCATGGCGACCCCACGTGTGTCAGAGTATAACTGCCCCACAGGGTATTTAATAGCTGATTTTTCAGAAGCAGATCGCCAAGCCTCTCTTCCAAAGCGCCTGTGGGTGGACTTGAGCCTCTAACCTTCCAATTAACAGCTGAGCACATTACCCGTTTATACCACCCAGGAACTCTGCATTAATCATCTGGGAAATGCAAATCAAAACCACAATGAGACAACACTTCACCTCCACTAGGACAACTACTCTACTATCAGAAAAACAGAATAACAAGTGTTGGTGAGGATGCGGAGAAACTGGAACCCTCGTGCTGGGAATGTAACATGGTGCAGCCGCTGTGGAAAAGAGTCTGGAGGTTCCTCAAACCATTAAACACAGAGTTACCATGTGACTCAGCAATTCCACTTCTAGGCATCTACCCAGGAGAAAGGAAAATGTATGTTCACAAAGATACTTGTCCATAAATGTTCACTGTAGCACTATTCACAGCAGCCAAAAGGCAGATACAACCCAAGTGTCAATCAGCGGATAATGGACAAACACAATGTGGTCTGTCCACACAATGGAGTATTACTTAATCATAAAGAGAAATGAAGCTCTGATACACACTATCACGTGGATGAACCTCAGAAACACGATGCTGAGGGAGGGAAGCCAGACCCAAAAAGCCATACAGTATATGATAGCATTTCTATGAAATGTCTAGAACAGACAAACCCACAGAGACAAAAAGTAGATTCGTGGTTGCTAGGGGCTGGAGTGAGCCCTGGTGGCATAGCAGTCAAGAGCTCGGCTGCTAACCAAGAGATCGGCAGTTAAAATCCATCAGCTGCTCCTTGGAAACCCTATGGGGCAGTTCTACTCTGTCCTATAGGGTCACTGTGAGTCAGAACCGACTCAACAGCATCTAACAACAAGAGGCTAGAGAGAAGCCCTGGTGGCGCAGTGGTTAAAACAACTGGCTGCTAACTGAAAGGTTGGTGGTTCAAAACTATCAGCGGCTCCACAGGAGAAAGATGTGGCAGTCTGCTTCTGTAGAGATTTACAGCCTTGGAAACCCTATGGGGTCGCTATGAGTCAGAATCTACTCAACAACAGTGGGTTTGGAGCCCTGGTGACACAGTGGTTAAGAACTCGGCTGCTAACCAACAGGTCAGCAGTTCAACTCCACCAGTGGCTCCTTGGAAATCTGATGGGGCAGTTCTACTCTGTCCTATAGAAGTTGCAATGAGTCGGAATCGACTCAATGGCAACAGGTTTGGTTTGGTTTGGGTTTAGGGGCTGGAGAGAGGGAGTGACTGCTAATGGGCACGGGGTCTCCTTTGGGGTGATAAGAATGTTCTGGAACTAGATAGAGGTGGTGGCTGCATAACATCGTGAATGTACTCAATACCACTGAATTGCTCACTTCAAACGGGTGAACGGTACGGCAAAATATCCTTAGATTAACAACGTCACTGAATTGGTATTTATGTTATGCTGTGTAATTCTCAACAACAATAACAAAATAAATAATTGGAAAAAAAAAAGCAAATTAAAACTGACATCTCTTCGTGAGATGAGAACCTGATGCAGGAGCTCAGCCTGGAAATGAGAAACGACAGCAGAAGAGGCGGGGTGGGAAAAACCTCCCAAAGTAGAACCAAGAGAGGCAAAAACAGACATGCGAAAGAACAGAACAGACGACAACTCACGTGCCTGGCCTCCCAGGGGCAGAACCCAAGGACCGCGCAGGGCAGGCTCAAAGGCAGGACAATCTAGCCACTTCCAGACAATGGCCTGGGGTGGGGGACGCTGGGCCACAGGGAGTGGCCACTCCCATCCGTGCAGGCCTGGGGAGTGGTGTCCAACCTCAGGGGTGCTTCAGGGACCAGAGGCCATGGGGCCAGGCCTCCCTCCCCAACAAGAGGGGCAAGTCCACTCCCGTCTCAAATTCTAAATGTAATCAAGCTGCCACCTCAGTGCAACGACCCACCAGCCATGAAGACCCTACACCTTTGAGCTACCCTGGGGCCCCCTCTCTCCCCTTGAGCTCGCCTGGGGCCCCCACTCAGCTGTGCTCTAGATGTAGGTGCTGTTTCAACAGCTGAACTCAAGGAACCCTAAAATAGCTCCCCATCCCCAAGAAATCACTTAAAGACTAATAAGCATGTCCACCTCTTGCAGCAGTGCCTCTAACCCAGGCTGGCTGGGGAGGAAGTCACTAATTGCCTGGGCTGACATCCTGCTTCTCCCCAGAGCTGTGGGCACCCCGCCTCGAATCCTGGGGACCCCAGGGGACACATTCAGTTAGCATGGCACAGTCCCACCCTGGGGAGTGCAGCTCTGCCTTGCATCCCTCGCCCTCATGTTCTCAAGGTTCTTTCACAGACTGACCATGTTTTAGCATCAATCCCTGGAGCAAAGAGGCGTGGGTTCTAGAAAGGGCCTGGATTTTGGGATGCAGGGCTTGGAGGTGAAAGCTGGTGGGTGGGGGAGGGAGGCCCGAGAGGCCAAAGTCCCAGCAGGGCCCATGGATGCCCCCCACCTGCAGCCTCTGCTCACACTGGACACAGGTCCAGGCTTAGACAGGAAGGGGCCCTGTGATGCCACCCTGACATCCTAGAAGAGACCTCCTAGGGCCCTGGGGTCAGGATGTCACCCAGAGTGGTCCTTATGGTATCTTCAGGGTAGGGGGGACCCTCAGGGTCAGGGTCTTCAGGGTCAGGGTTGGGGGGGTCCTTGGGGTCAGTACCTGACAAGCACACGCTGGAGCAGCTGCCGGTCGCCCTCCGAGTAGCCAGGCCAGTCCCGCTGCACATCCTTGTACATGCCATCCTTGAGCGTGCATGTGCCATCCTTGGCACTCACATTGGCCACCTGCAGACAGGCCAGGATGTCACCTGCATGACCCAGAGGCAGGCGCCATGGAGTGAGGGGCAGAAACAGAGAAGGGGGAGAGGATGTACCCTGCCTCGAGGGTCCCCCAGCACATGCACCGTGTCCCCCCAGCAGGTGGAGGTACACACACAGACACACACAGACACACACAGACACACACACACACACACACACACAGACACACAGACACACACACACACAGACACACAGACACACA